CCAATCCTTTTATTAGTTACCTCAATTGGCAGGAGCCCTCCTGCTAGGGGTTCCTGCCCCATGGTGGCGAGGAAGGCGAAAAACCTCCAGAGGCTCAGCCAATCTGCCCTGGAGGAAAATTCCTTCCCGACCCCAAATATGGCGATCAGTAAGACCCCGAGCAGTGCCTTCACTACATCCTCCATTTCTTTTTCTTCTCGTTGGGGGTGATTTACCCTGCCCTGATATGATGCACCAAATGGAAAGAACTGAACTGGACTCTTAGAACACAGGGTGCTTTTGCAGGGTTGGCAGCAAGAAAAAGACTATCTTTCCACTTGTCAACTGAGCACATCTGATGTAGAAAACAATAAGCAACAACATGGAACCCACCATTCCATTTTTACAGTCAGTTTTCAGAGCAGAACAACATTTCAAGTATTGTTAAAAAAACCAAACAATTTTGGAATTATCACAAGAACCACACATCTCACATAAGTCACCAGATCGGAAAAGCATTCAGCACTGCTGGTATTTAAAATTATTATTTTGTTTTTTAAAGTGAGAGATGCCAAGACATGGTAGGAATAGTCAGCTCCCCACTCAAAAAGACAACTTTGTGCTGGAGATATCACAACAGCCAAAGAGCCAGCCCAGGGACAGAAGTCTTCTTTTGGTTAAACAATACTGCAGTTTGTTTAAAAAGGTGTTTATTTGATATCTCTTTAAAATAAGGTTTAAAATGAAGGTATTTTAGTGATGTGAGAAGTGAGAGAGAAAAATAAGAACGTTTTATAAAGGCACAATATTGTTTAAAAAGAATAAAATTAAATGAAAAAAATTATTGTGCCCTCATGACATGCTTCTGTGTTGGGCAGTTTTCTATGATGGCTGCAATTTCACTAGCAGAGGGAAGCAGAGAGGAAAAACCTATAGAGACAACAGTACAATTAACGTGTTGGGGGGTGGAGGGGAAGGAGGAGGACTAAAGTCCAGAGACATTTTCTGCTTCAGTATCCAGAATTACAGAGGAGTACAAGAAAGAGATTCTTGATCAAGGTATCTGTGAGGATAACAGACTTTGTATTAAAACACAATGGAGAAAAACATGGCATAATTTGAGGAGAAAAGAAAGAGAAGGCAGCAAAAGAATCAAGACACGTAATAATCAGCAACTAAATCAGAATGGGATTAAAATAGACACAGAGGATAAAAGCACCCCTGTGAAGCCCTATCCTAGAAAGATACTCCATGTGTGCTATCACTCTCAATGTTCTGTCTTTAGAACTTCAGCAACACTTTTATTGTTTGTCATACCAAAGTAGTTTTTAATCTGAAGCAGAGAGCATGTGGGGAGTAGGTCCCACTAAGAAGCTGATTGTGATCCATAGCAAGAATGGAGGGTCAAGAACTTACAGTAAACAAGGTATGTTTTAAAATGACAAATGTGCTATGTCTCTTTACTCTGAATACCTGAGGTCATTCAGCACATAATTCTACAGCCTTGAATTCAGTAAGTGTTTGCAGCTTATTTTCATTCTTTTTCACAACTATTAGAGTGCCAAGAAATTGGACAGTTTAATTGTTTCAACTAGGCATAGTTATTGTTGCTCTAAATCAATGTCATCAAAGTTGTTTTTTAGAGACGGCTGAATACAATTTTCCTTTAAGGTCTGTGGACCCAGGTATAGGGTTGCCAGGTTTTCAACTGGAATGCCCCATTGAAAAGGGACCCTAGTGGTTTTGGTCAACACTGCTGACCGGGCCGTTAAAAATCCGTTTGGCCGCCTGCAGCGAGGCAGGCAGGCTGCCTGATCAGCTCCACGTGGCTTCTTGAAGCAGATGGCATCTCCCTCTGGCTCCTAGGTGCAGGGGCGGCCACGGGGACTCCACGCACTGCCCCTGCCCCGAGCACCAGCTCTACAGCGCCCAATGGCCAGGAACCCCAGCCCGGAGGCCGCTCCCGTATCCTGAACCCCTAATTTCTGGCCCCACTGCAGAGCCCGCACTCCCAGCCCAGAGCCCATACTCCCTCCCATACCCCAATCCCTTGCCCGGAGACGCCTCCCATACGCCAAATGTCTCGGCCCCACTCCCCAACCCCTCCTGTAACCCAAACGCCTCATCCCCGGTCCCACCCAAGAGCCTGCACCGCCAGCGGGAGTCTTCATCCCTTTCTACACCCCAACCCCTGCTCCAGCCTGGTGAAAATGAGCGAGTGAATGAGGGTGGGGGAGTGCAGGCAATGGAGGGTGGGGGATGGAGTGAGATGGGGCGTGGCCTCATAGAAGGGGCTGGACATAGGGCGTAGCCTCAGGGAAGGGGCGGGGCAAGGCAAGGTTTGGTTTTCTGCAAATAGAAAGTCGGCAACTCTGCCTGGGTATAAGTTTGAGATTCTGCAATCCACAGCAGAACTATCATTGATCGCAATGAAAGATTTACACTAAATTGCATTTATGGAGTACCTTAACTTTTAGTTATTATTTATTCAGTATTTTATTGTCAAATACGTAAGATCACTTGTCATTTCCAGTGACAGTGTGAACATGAAAGATTTTTTTAAATATTCTAATTGATAGAAATAAAAAATTGAAATAAATGGTGCAGTGAATTGAAATAATGCTTTAACTCTCAGATTGCAACATAAGAAATTATTCAACCACCATAGAGAGAAATTTTTTTTTTAAATGGAAAAAAAATCGCTTTGGTGGAATCTTTTTGGCCATTAGGTGTCACTCTTTACTTTCTGTGGTAGCATGGAAGTTTATGGGCCTAATTTTCCTCTCACTTACGCCAGTGTAAATCAGTAGCAGTTCCAATAAAGTTAGTTTAATAGAGTTAAACTAGTATAACTGAAAGAAGAATAAGGTCCAAAGTACCATTTCTGCAGATTTGTAGTTAATATTTCTGTTAGACTTCTCATGATTAATAAGAACTTATTCATATAATATTAAGATCCAAGTAGCTTTTGAATTTGTGCCATCAAGTCTGGGCATAAAATGAGCACTAGTCATAGTTGGGCCTGAATTTGCTTTCCTTACATTGATGTAAATCAGGCTTAACTGTACTGTAGTCAATGCAATTACACAGGTGCCTGCCTGGCCTGATTTCAAGTCGCTCCTGCAGTGATCTGTTATAATTCAGCCCTCAGAGACAAAACAGTACACACAAGTAGCACTAACTACATGGCCTGTTTCAATCCCAGTAAAACCAGTGGGAGCCTTTCCACTGGCTTCAATTAGCAACAGATCAGACCATTAGAAAGAAAGGTGGAGGTGTGGCTCTGCCTCTTTGTTCTATACAATAACAAGAGTGTTATCAGTGCCCAATAAATCATAGCATTGTCCAACCTATAGACACCAAATTAGGTTTTTGCGGGAGCAGAGTCCTCTTTGAAAGATTGGCACTGCCTATCTAAAACTCAAACCATCGTAAGCTAATAAATTCAGATGTAATGATGAAGTGGGGGGGTCTGAACCAACATGCAATTATAGCAAATTCCTAAAAATCAAACATCTGATGACAAAATGCAGTCACAGTAATGAAAGTCTTGATGAACTGAACAAAATCATAGTCTTTATTTTCTTTCATTTTGAATTTGAGATAGTTGGCACAAGAGAAGTCACTTTTACCTTGTTATGTGTAAAGATTATCCGTAGTTCTGGCTTTATGATGCCATATGCCATCAAAAGATCTTGGATTTTTTTTAATTCCTCCTTACATTTTTTAACTGTTGAGTAAAACTGTTTTCTTACAGGAAGATTTTTAAACAGCTTCAGTGCAGCTACAGTTGTACCTGCAAGTGGGAAATAAAAGACTGTAAAGCTAACATGAAAAGTGTAGGACTGGTTGAGCGTAAAGAAAAAAAAACCCTCACTTGTGCTGAAAGAGACTATTCTTCCATATAGGTGCATGCACATAATTCTTATTAACATTAATTAGAATCATACGTGCATGAAGAGAAGGACATACTGCTACATTAGCATTCCCCTCCACAGCAAGCTGACTGCTAGATTTCACAGCTGTGCAAGCTGATCATGTCCTTCAACTGGAGCTATGCTCAAGCTACTTGACACCTAGATTACACATTTTTTCCATTTCTGGCGAGCCACGAGGATTTACTGAATTAATCTTCCTTTACGTTTTGATTTTTCTAGTTTCATCCATATCTCTTTCTCTGGTATTAGTAGACACCAATAAACTGAAGTTAAAATTTCATCTACAGTACATCTGCTCTAGTGCAGACCCACTAAGCTCTCGCCATATGTCTAATCATAGCCTCTTCTAATTCTGTAGCAAACTTTTCTACATCTTTCCCTAGCATCTGCCTATAATATACCTAAAATGAAAAGCAATCCCACAGAATTTTTTCTTGAAGCAAAAACCCACCATCTGAAAGTCAGCAATAAAATATACAAGTTAATAGTCAAATTCACCTATATAAGAAAAAAAAATCTTATTAATTAACTATAAACAAAAGGAAAAATGCAGCACTGCATATCATTAAAGTTCTAATGGAAAGCCTGCTTCAGAAAGTGCTGATTATATTTGCCACTGAATTAACAGTAATACATATGAAATCAACAGTATAAAATCCAGATAATAAAAGTCACAATTTATAAAGAGGCAAATTTGCTATATTATTTAATTATGAGGATATTTATATATTAACATCAGGTCATGATAATTATCTCTCATATTTAACAGGATGCCACAAGGAAGGCTTTTTATACCTGAACCAAATACAGAATTAAAAATGTACTAAAATTAAGAGGTATTAAAAATCCCTGTCTTTGAAAAACAGCAAACAATTTAAAATATTAACAGGCAAACTGAAGGAGGCACTATCATATTTTACAAGAAAATTCTTAAGATTTAACTGTGCTGCTCTCTCAATTTAGCACACTCTATTTAAGCCCTGATTAAATTCCAGTCCTGCAATATGCTTCTTGGTATATTTTATACCAACTTAAAGACTCAGCGATTTAGAGCTGTAATATAAAAATATGTGGTTTTGATTGTGGTGTGATGAAGTTTTCTTTCTTATAAACTGACTTTTACAGATCAGGTCTTAAATCAAACTAAAAGCTCTTTCAACATGTGGTCAATCTAACTTGCATTTCTGAGTTACACAACAGACCAGAACATTCCACGTTATGTGTCTAGGAGGGTAGGGGAAAAGGTTGTAACCCCATTATAACACTTTAATGTAAGTATTATTCTCTGTTACCAGGTAAATTTACTCAAGTACCACTATTTTTTTAACCGCATGCTAATAATTTTTATTATTTGTACCGGGGTAATGCCTAGATGCCAGAACACTGTATTAAGATGGTCCCTGCTTACATAGTTTATGTACAGTGTATATTAACTGACAAGGAGGGCTATTGGCCTACCCAATCCAATCAAGTATAATTAAAAAAATTAGCCTGTAAGAGGTATATAATTTTATCTTACATTAAAAATGTACTTAAATGAAAACTGAAGTACTCATATTTCAGCAGCAGTCAATCATTCAACAGCTCTGGTAAATATAAAGTCCAAGACAATACAGCTCTTATCTAAAGTTTGACTTCAGTGGACTTTAGATCATAGATTATAAGGCCCGAAGGCCACTGTGATCATCTAGTCTGGCCTCCTGCATAATACAGGCCACAGAATTTCCCTGATACCTGTTTAAACTAGAACATATTTTTTAGAAAAACATCCAATCTTGATTTAAAAATTGCCAATGATAGAGACTCCACCATAATCTTTGGTAAATTGATTCAATGGTCAACTACCCTCTCTGTTAAAAATTTACATCTTATTTCCAGTCTGATTTTGTCTAGTTTCAGCTTCTAGCCAGATCTTGTTATACCTTTGTCTGCTAGATTTAAGAGCCCATTATCAATTTTTTGTAACAAATTGTTTGCTTGTGCCCAGCTTACCATGTGATCCAGATCACTATCAATAACCTGTCCCCTTCAGTATTTACAACTCCCACAGTTTTTAGGTCATCTTCAAACTTTATCATAATGATTTTAGGTTTTCCTGCAGGTCATTGATAAAAATGTTAAATAACGTTGGGCCAAGAACCAAATCCTGCTGGATGCCACTAGAAACATACCTGCTCATTGATGATTCCCTATTTACAAGTACATTTTGAGACCTGTCAGGTAGCCAGTTTTCAATCTATTTAATATGTGCCATGTTAATTTTGTATTGTTCTAGTTTTATAAACAATTTAATTGCGGTATCAAGTCAAATGCCTTACTGAAATCTAAGTATATTACATCAAACATTATCTCATCAAAACCCAATATTGTTACTTTTGCAGGATCTATTTTTCCACAAACCCTTGTTGATTGGCATTAATTACATTACCCTATTTTAATTCTTTATTACTCAAGTCTCTTATCAGCTGCTTCATTATCTTGCCTGGGATCAATGTCATACTGACAGGTCTGTAATTATCTGGGTTGTCCCATTTACTCTTTTTAATACTGACACAACACATTAGCTTTCTTCCAGTCCTCTGGAAGTTCCGCAATGTTCCAAGACTTATTGAAAATCAACACTAATGGTACAGCAAGCTCCTAGGCCAGCTCTTTTAAAACTCTTGAATGCAAGTTAGCCCTACCTGCTAATTTAAAAGTGTCTGACTTTAGAAGCTTTAGTTTAACATCCTCCTGAGTTATTGGAATGGAAAGTGTTTCATCATCACCATCATAGGATATGACTACATCATATTTTTTCCCTCAAACACAGAACAGAAATATTTAGGAAACACTTTTGCCTTTTCTGCACTATCACTGACAATTTTACCATTTCCATCTAGTTATGGACTAACGCCATTATGATTTTTGTTATTATCAACTGCCCCTTTCTTCCATGTGTTTATGGTAAAGTGTTTTTAAACAATTCCCATTTACTATTCACATTTTTCTGTTTAAATTCTTTCTCCCAACTGACATTGTCTCATAACCGTGTGTGTGTGTGTGTGTGTGTGTGTGTGTGTGTGTGTGTGTGTGTGTGTGTGTGTGTGTGTGTGTGAGAGAGAGAGAGAGTG